GAAAAAATCCTACTTGACACAGCAACAAGAAAAATAAAATACCTAGAAATAGATCCAACCAAGGAGGTAAAAGAACTGAACTCAGAAAACTACACAACACTGAAGAAAGAAATTAAGGAAGACACAAACAAATAGAAGCATATACTGTGTTCATGGATTGGAATAATTAACATCATCAAAATGTTCATACTACCCAAAGCAATTTATAGATTCAATGCAATACCTATTAAAGTACCAATGGCATATTTTACAGACATAGAACAAACCTTTCAGAAATTTATATGGAACCATAAACAATCCCAAATAGCTGCTGCAATTTTGAGAAGGAAGAATAAAGTAGGAGTGATCACAATACTTGATATCAAACTGTATTACAAGGCCACTGTAATCAAAACAGCCTGGTACGGGCATAAGAACAGACACATAGATCAATGGAACAGAATAGAGAATGGAGCAGACATAGTCTATATTACTCACATTACATAGAGCACCAATGGCAGCAGATCAATGAAGAAAGACCACACCTCCCTGAGTCCAAGACTTGTTTTAAGGGATCCCAGACAAAGGGGGCACAAGTGTTGCTCATGACTCTAAACTACATTACCTCAGTGTAATGTAATGTGTACCTGCAGAGAGAAAAAGTCAAGAAGCAGTCACAGGACAAGAAGCCACTCCCAAAAGATAAGGAGGGAATTACAATCCTTTTCCAAAGCAGTACACATTCCCCGTGGCCAGGGCCCCTCTGGCCAGCCTTCTTCTGTTCTGGGGGTTGGAAGACCCATGTCCAGCACAACCCCACATTTAGCCTACCAGAGTTCCCATCACTCTGCACACATAGGTACAGTACTATTTTAAAAGTGAAAAGGCAAGTCACCTGGTAGGAGAAAATATTTGGAACAACTATAACTGACATAGAGCTCATTACAAGGCTATAAAATACATTCTAAAAACCAATTTAAAAAAGACCTCTAATAGGGAGATTTGCTAAAGTTTAAACAGTGTCAATTATAATAGCCCAAATAATAATTATTATAATGGTGGTCTTATCTAGGGTAATAATAGTAGGCTGGAGAGAATAATAATAGTAGGCATACATACCTCATAGGATTATATTGTGGGAATTAAATGAGATAATCCATATAAATAGATTCAAGAGATATTTACATAATAGTAAGATATTTGTAAAGTATTTGCCTTATTTCATATTTAATAATATAAATATAATAATCAACCAAAGCTTCAAATGTATTTTTTATTCATTGATTTGAGAGAGAGAGAAAAGAACAAAAAAGATCTCAGACCCTGAAACCTCATTTCCTATTGCCAAAGCACCAGGATACGAGTATGCAAACAGGTATCTGAACTTCCTAAAATGACATTAAAATCTGATTCTACCATAAGTCCCATTTGGTTTCCAAAGTCAACTGCAGTTGGAATCATTTACCATTAATACTAAAGAATCAGTCGTTGCATATACACAAATTAGCAAGGCTGCATTATTCAAGGAAGTTTAAATTCATTTTAACTGGGCTCCTACAAGCAGGACTTGTTGAAGAGATTCAGTCTGACATTAGGAATCCGGGAGGAAATGAAGAGTTTCCAATTGTGCTAAAAAGAAGAAAGAACTCTTCTTTCTTATGTCTCAGTGGAACATGGAGACATAAATATAAACATTAAGTAAGTCATAATAGAGATTTCTACTTCTAACGTCTGGCGTCAGCTTACTCGGGTTGGAAATCTAGCAACACCAATTCATCCTTCTAAATGTGCAATGTTTGGCAAGTGGCTTCACCTCCCTAGGCTTCAGTTTTCTTCCTGAAGGGGAGAAATGTGGATAATAAAGTACTTACTTGCCTCATAGGATTATTGTAGGAATTAAATTAGATAATCCATGTAAAGCTCTTAAAACAGTACCTGGCACATTGTAATTACAGCTGGTGTCACCCTGATTCCAGTGACTGCTGGAGCCACCTCTGGTCTGGCTTGAAGCAGAAAGGATGTCTCAAATCCTGAACAGTGGTATCCAGGGAATTTTACCAGGACTTGGGCTAGAGAGAGACTGGTACTTGAAGAAAGCAGCTTTCTTTTTCTTTTTTAATTTTTATTTTCTTCAATTACAGTTGACATTCAATATTTTGTTTTTAGTTTCAGGTGTACTGCATAGTGGTTAAACAAAGTATTCCCCTGATATTTCGAGTGCCCACCTGGCACCATACATAGTTATTATAATAATATTGAGTACTTTCCTATGCTGTACTTTCTGTTTTCTGTATCTATGAGTCTGTTTCTGTTTTGTTTGTTCATTTATATTGTTCATTAGATTCCACAGGTAAGTGAAATCATACAGTATTTGTCTTTCTCTGACTGACTTATTTCACTTAGCATAGTACCCTCTAGGTCCATTCAGAAAGCAGCTTTCTTCAAAGGACTATATGTTGAGTCAAACCTCCCCCTGCCCTCAAACCAGTTCTCCTTCCATCTAGTGCCCAATGGCAGCAAATGCCTGACTTCCAACGTCAGGGCCCCTGTCCTTGTGTCCCCCAACTCCTTTTCTACTCCAGAATCCAAGGCAGCAGAATCACTTGGTTTCCCTGGAGCTTCAAGCTTTTTCACACTCTGTTTTATTCACAGCAGTGCCCCGTGCTTGGCATGGCATTCTCTTCACCTTTTGTGTGCTAGGCAAATACCTACTCATGTCCTCTAAGAAAGCTTTCTTGAGGCACCTAAACTTCCCACCTCCTTACTTGCCCTGGACCACCTTCTACAGCACATCTCTTCCAACATTGCCTGTGTCTGCCCCCTTCAAGTTCACTGGTGCTCCCCTGTGGACCCTTACTGACACAGACACCAGCCCACAGTGCCTGCAGCATTATGGATGAGACATGAGACAAATTCACACGGACTACCAAGCCTTGTGGAGAAAAAGGGACGGCACAGCTACTCCCTCAAGAGGGGAGCAACTCGGAGTGGCCTGGCAACTCTCTCAAGGGGAGAGCTTGCCAACCCTTGCCTTGACAGGTTTTTATTGGGTTTCAATTTGCACAGGAATACAGGTAAAGTTCATTAATTGTTGTCAGGCAGTAAGGATCAAACAATAGATAGCATGCAAAGAACTCAGATTCTGAGTCAGAGTCTGTTAGCTAAAGGCTACAAAACTTTAGGAAACAAACTCATTTCCTGCTCAGACCCTTATCAGAAAATTGAGAACATTCTTAGCAAGGCAGGTTTCACAGGATTTTATATATTTTTTCTTAGGCCTAATCACCCAGGGAACCTGCTCTTTCCAGCACAGGGCTCCACCACCCTCTGTCATTGTTTCAGGCTTAAGACAGGCAGGGGGAGTAAGGCAGCCAAGAGACTAGGAGACTTCTCACAGACAGAATGAGGACTCAGGCTCTGTCAAAGCCAAGGGGTGAGGGTCCATCACCCCCTTTCTCCATAGCCCCCTAAGTCATTTCCTGGGGTCTCCATGTGATCACACCTGTCTTAGGTTGTTCCCCCCTTAGGGAATCTTACCCGTCATTGGCTAACTGATCAAGCATTGGGGGCCAGTTATGGATGAAGGAGCAGAAGTGGCACTCCTGCCAGGGAGATAAGCTTTGTCTCTTTAGTGGCTTATGGTCTGAAGGTCACTCACTTGGCCTTAGTCATGGGAGGGTACGGCTTCTGAAATCAGGTAAGGCTGTTCCCAACACCTTACCACTACCTAGCACATGTCTCACAACAACCCAATGTGTGTGTGTGTGTGTGTGTGTTTTCAATTTATTGATTTTTTTTTAAAGAGAGAGAGAGAAACATCAATTTTTTTGTTTCACATATTTATGCACTATTTGGATGCTTCTTGTATGTGCCCTGACCAGGGATCAAATGTGTAACCTTGCTGTACGGGACGATGCTCTAACCAACTGAGCTACCCAGCCAAGGCCCAGTACGCATTTAATATGTGAACGCACTGGATAGTAAACTTAGGATGGAAGGTAAGACATTCCAGACAGAACTGATCCACGAGCTCAGAAACAGCACTCTGTTGCCGGCACATGAGTGCTCTGTGGTCGATTGAATACCTGTACCTTCTGCATTGCCTTTGATGCTAATAATATTTTATTAGAAATAAATGCATAAACATACATCTACCAACTAGCCAACAATTCAACTATGGAAATTACTGTTGGGTAAATTTATGTCTACAAAAGATTTGCTCAAGAATGTTCACAGTCACCATTTTATCCATAATAGCTAATTACTGGAAAGGACCCAAAAATCAACAGGGGGATGTAAAAACAAATTGTGCTGTGTCTGTTCAAGGGACTATCTACCATTCGACAACAAACAACCATCAACCACAGGGATGGATCTCAATAGCTTACACTGGGTGATGCAGTCAGACACAAAAAGGGTAGATACTGAACTACATATATGGGTGAACAAAAGATTTACATTTGTAAATATGCGAAACACACAGTTTATTCTTGTATTATTATTATTTATTGTATTATTTTCCATGTAAACCTACTTTTGCCCACCTTGTATATAAACTTCTAGAAAGGGAAAATGTAACGTTAGTGACAGAAAGCAGAAAAACTGGGGTAAGGGGTGAGGGCATAGGAGGAGATAGGACAGAGAGACTAGGAAAGAGCAGGTTTGTTAAAATTCATCAAACTGTACACCTGAGGTCTGAGAATTTTTCTATACGTTAATTATACGTTTTAAAAATACGTGTTAAGAGTTAGAAGGAAGAAAAGGCAGGGAGGAAAGAAGGGAGGGGAGGAAGAGAGGCAGTCACATTGCGCGTGGTAGCTGTGCACAGATCAGGTGAAGAAGCCCTCCCCTGCTGCTAAGATGGGTTACTCAACGGACCACACCAGAGGGCCGGGAGGGGACTCCGGTTGGCTAGGGAGCAAGCGGAGGGCGGGACAGCAGCCCCCTGCGTGCAGTTGCTCCTCTCAGCCGCCAGGCGGCGGAGGTTTGGGACAGGGAAGAACTGGCTGCGGTGACCCGGGAAGTTGCGGCGAGGGGGCGGGGCCCGGCGCAGAGGCCTTGTGGGCTCCTTTTCGGCGCGGTGTACTGCGGGTCGCCATGGCGGACTTGCAGCAGCTTCGGGTACAGGAGGCGGTGGACTCCATGGTGAAGACTCTGGAGAAAGAGAATATCCGGAAGATGCAGGTAGCCAGGAGGGAGCCGATTCTGCGGGAACCCGGCGGCCCCACATTCTCGGTCGTGGGCCACGATTCCCAACCCCTTCCTGCAGCAGCCGCGAGATGTCCTACGCAGCCGCCCCTCCCCGCAGAACCTACCTAGCCCGGGGGTCCCTGGGGTAGCCGCGGCACCCTCGGAAGCAGACCTTGCCCTCAGACAGAAACTCTGGAACTTTGGCTGAGCGGATGAAATCTGTGCGTCCTCGAAATGCTCAAGGCCGTTATCACCCAGACCATCACTGGGGTGAGGGGGTCCCCAGGCCAGGGTTAGAGAGCCCCTAGTGTGAGGCTTTGGTCCCTCCAACCTTCCCCTTTTGCCCGGCCCCTTTGCAGCTGGGCAGCCCGAGGCTGAAAGAGTACGGCCAAGCTGAATGACCTGAAAGGCGAAAGTGCTCTACCTCCTCAATGTCCAGGTCATTCGTGCCCGGTTCTTCGCGATACAGAGCGTTGGTTTATATACAGTTCTGCTTCGATAACCTAAATGTTTTGTGTCTTTTAGGCTTGTCTCCCTAAAAGGATTGTAGATTCCTCTTGTAGTGCTCCTTGTCATTGATGGGCTACCCCCTTGTGGAATATATAGATTACTAGATTGCTTACCTGTGAACCTTGCGGTATAGGCGTCTGGTTTTAAGATTTTTGGCTTCATCCGACCCACCACCACCTTCCCCGTGCACATAGCCCTATAAGCAACAATTGCAACAGAGCTAGAAGCAAGAAAGTCATGAAACACTCTGCCAGGCAAAATTATCTCTGAGGATAATTTTCCCATTCGTAGTCTTAAGGTCCTGATGTCTAGTCTAAGGAGCAGTGCAAATATCTAGACGCTCCTCCCAACCCCTGTAGCTCTCCATGGTCAGCTCTCGCCAGGGCTCTCCCTACCTAACCTCCCTCTGCCCCGTCCCCAGGCCCTCATGTTCCGGTGCAGTGCTAGCTGTTGTGAGGAGAGCAAGTCGTCCATGCAGCAGGTGCACCAGTGCATCGAGCGCTGCCACGCACCTCTGGCTCAAGCCCAGGCCCTGGTTACCAGGGAGTTGGAGAAGTTCCAGGTGAGGAATATCCCAGATGAAGCACTCTGGTCCTTGATGTTACTCTTGTACGTAACAAACATTTGTTACAAAGCTCTGGGCTTTAGTGTCTTAATTCTGTTAACATTGGTGACAGTGCTGTGGTCAACCAGTCTTCAGAGTTTGAAATTTTGGGAAAGTCCTGGAGATTGAGTACTGCAAGTATTTCCCATAAAAACAATGAGTTACCAAGGGAGTTTATGACCAAGAGCCTTATGCTTTTTTTTCTATAGTTAACAGGTAGAAAAAATATGTATACTATATAGGACAAAGTTTTCTAAAAACACATATTCATTCTTACAATAGCAGAATCCCCAAGAAAGTGGAATAGATAGGTCTTAAAAAGGTACAGAGTAGAGCAAGATCCTTTCATCATTTTGTGAACTTACCCACCAGGACTGCCCCTCCTGCTATGCCCAGAGAGCAGCTCCCACGTCACTAAAGAACAGTCATTTATATGAAGTATTATTATTGTTGACTCCCTGATGCCTGCCTCACTAGCCCTTCTGAGGTCACTAAGAGCCCCCATCTCCACCCCCATCCCTGTCTGGAGCAGAGTAGCCACAACTTCATTTTACTCTCCTCCTGTGAGTAACTTTTCTGGAACTTGGAGGAAGCAGGGCCTCATAGCCTGGGATTCTGTTCACATGAAAAAATTGTACCTAATGTAATACATTTTTACATCCTGCTACACAAAATTCTTTAAAACTACTGACAGGAATAACTTCTCCAAAATCATGGAACTCCCAAAGGTTTCCTTGTTTATTTTGACACCTGAGTTTATAAATAGGGCCTTTGAAGTTTTGATTCTTGAATTGCTATAAAACTTTTCTCCTCCCACTCACTTTTCAGTCCTCTCCAATCAGACTTACTCTTATACCGTGCCAGAACTGCTCTTGCCATTTCCCCCGCATAGGGCTAAATCCAGTGGTTATTTCTCATTCCTCATCTTACTCAACCTATCTGCATTATTCACAGAGTGGATCACTCTCCCCCTCCTTGAAACACTGGATTCGGTTGGCTACCAGGTCACCCCACTTTCCACCCCACTTTCCTGGTTTTCCACCTCCATAACCATCCTTTTATGGCTTCCTTTGCTGGCTTTTCCCTTTCCAACCTCTGAACATTGGAGTGCCCAGGACTCTTCTCGAAACTCTTCTCATTTCTATCTAGTTCTCTAGTCTCAGTTATCATTATCATCTATATGTGTGTGACAACCCCTACATTCATAGCTCTAGACCAACCTCACTCCTGACCTTCAAATTCACATATCCAACTGTTTCCTCAACATCACTTAATTATTCTGTTGGTCCCTCTTCCCTTACTGGAATATAAGTTCTATGAGGGAAGAACTTTTTCTGTTTCACTCATTGCTATATCCCCCATTAGAAGAGTACCTGGCACATAACCCCGACCTGTGTGTCACAGTTGGATGGGCATCATACCACAAAGTGAAAGGTCACAGGTTCAATTCCCAGTCAGGGCACATACCTGGATTGCAGGTTCAGTCCCTGGTCATGGCGACTACAAGAGGCAACCAATCAATGTTTCACTTATTGGTATTTCTCTCACTCTCTTTCTCCCCCCCCCTTGTCTCTAAAAACAAATAAATAAAATCTTTAAAAGAAGCCGAAGAAGAGTACCTGGCATATAGTCGATAGTCAAGTAATTAAGTTGAATGTTTTTCTATAGCTAGGACAGACATTAAATAATAAAGATGTTTGTAAGTCTTTCTGTAACTGAGTAACTGGCCTTTAGTTACTCCCCACTTCCTGGAAGGGGCTTGTGTACAATTCTGTCATTCACCTGCTTTCCAGTAATGCTTTGTCTGGGCCCTCCTAGTGCCACCCTCTGTTTCAATCAGGATAATCCTGCTTAACTTTACTAGTGTCTCTTTAATTCATCAAGATAATACATGTCAAGCCAAAACACAGCAGATCCTCAAATGACATCATTTTGTTACAACATTGACAAGATACCATAGGAACTTTTTTATATCAATTAACTTATGGTAAATTTGGTTTCATAATACATCATTTTGCCAAACTTCTATGACAACAGTAAGTGAAACTTAATTGTATGTAGCACAGAACCTGGTACATGATAGGCATTTGGTAAATGAAGGCCAGCTTCTCAACCTCCTCTTCCTTCTTGCCGCAGGACCGCCTGGCCCGATGCACCATGCATTGCAACGACAAAGCCAAAGATTCAATAGATGCAGGGAATAAAGAGCTTCAGGTGAAGCGGCAGCTGGAGAGTTGTGTGACAAAGTGTGTGGATGACCATATGAACCTCATTCCATCCATGACTAAGAAGATGAAGGAGTCTCTCTCATCCATTCAGATATAGAAGCCTTTGCCATTGGCCATTGTGACTGAGGGCAGGAATCTATTTAAAGTGAATGAGAATTTTGGTCTTTTAAGCAAAGTTTGTGAATGAAGAAATTAAGGACGGCAGCAAGATTAAGGCATGAGTCACTTGCCTCTGGACACTGATTCTTTTATATTTTAATCCTAGAAAGTGCAATGGAAAAAAAACTGGTGCTAAAATTTGGGTCAGAGAGTTTTTGAGAGCCTAAATTTTATGTGGCAAATGCTTACTCTGGCAGCAGATGTTTCCCTCAAACCAAGACAGAGCCCTCTGAGGTACCAGTAAGCTGACAGCCTCCTCTCACCTACCAGTGATCTGGTGGAATGTGAAGAAAGGTGTTTCTCTTTGTTGCCGACCTCCTGTTTACCATAAGCATCACCACACCATTTTTGATAAGCTGTAAAACAAAATCCATGAGGTCACTAAGTTAGAAGGGGAAAAACGGTTTCTGGGTATTTGTTTTCCTTGGTTTCGTTGTATATACAAGGGTATAAAGGGTATGAAGAGGTAGTTTGGATAAGATCTTTCAAAGCTTCCTTTGGATAGCTGTTTCTGTCTATCAAGATGTAAATGTGCACTTCTTAAATTCTCACACATGACATCTTTCAGCTTGGAGATCCTCCAGAAATGTAAGAGGCAATGTCACGCTAAGTATGGGAAGCAGACCTTCCTCCTCACTGGCTGCAGTGATGGGCCCTAAGCCTGTCTGCAACAGAGTGACAGGACAGTCTTGCAGTGGTACTCTACCTTGAAGGGAGAGGAGTTTTTTATTGTGCTACATACCAATATCCAGGAATGAACAATGAAAGAGGAACTGTTGACTGTTTAATTAAAAGAGTTATGAAGTACAGGGTTTGGAAAAAACCTGGTTTTCAGGAATGAAATCTAAACTCAGTATTGCTTCCTTAGTACCCTGAAATAACAGAGCCTACTGAGACAATCCTTTGGCAACAGGAAGGTCAAGGTAGAAAAAGTAAGCAACTCAGGTGAGCTGTGGCTCCTTTAGAGCAAAGGAGGAGCTGCCCTCCCCCCCACCCCTCCACTACCAAATACCACTTTTCCCTGGGGGCTTTGCAATGTGTAGTGTTCCAACCCCAGCTCTGGCACCTTACCATTTTGATAAGGACCTTGTTGTCTTTTTACCAACTTATTACTTGAAATAGTAATATAGCCGTTCTGTTTGCTGTTTCAGGACTATGATACATTTTCCTAGTTGTCTGAAATAAAGTTTGATTTTCTTCCACTATTGTGTTTCTTTGAGCAGTGACTATATAACTTTCTAAGGATTCTTTTCTTTGTAATGTGTGAAATCAGTTTCTTAAGAGATCCAAAATATGAAAGTTAGTTATACAAGATGGTTTAAATGCAGGACTTGTTCATTGTAAATGGGGAAAATTTCTAGGGTGAACTGGGGCACAATTAACTTGAAGTCCATTAATGTAAAAGATGGAAACTGTCTCTATGTCTAAAACAATAAATTCAATACCTGTGTCAGGTTTGTAGCTTCAGCTAAACACTAACAAGAGGTAGAAAAGATATAGCTATGTCCCCTCTAGAGAATATGCAATGTCTAGGATTTTGAGTACCATGGAAAACAAAATATAGTTTAAGTCTTAATTATCATTGGTATTTCAATACAGGGGTGGGACAAAGTAGTTTACAGTTGCTCATGAGTATAATAAGAATAAAACCTATTTTTGCATAGAAAACTAAATGTAATTTTGCCCACTCCTGGAGCCATTTCTAAACATCAGGAATGAATTCAATTTGGAGGGACCATTTAGTACTTAAGAGTCACCAAGGCTTTTCTATTTTGGCCCAAGCCTTCTGTAATCCCTATTGTAATTGGTTCATAAATGTGGGCTCCCCTGTTTTGGGTAATTTAACTGGAAACAAGTCAAACTTTTTACATGTAACGCTCGACTTCAAAATACCTCATTATAGTTTGTGTGCTGCACATGTTTTATGTATGGGATCAAGGTACATTTCACATTTAAGTGGGGATCTGGAGGCAGTGCTAACAAGAATAGCAAGACCGTCAGCTGGAAATATACTTTCGGGCTCTGGATTCACATTCTTATAAACTGAGGCCCTGCCATCCCACTCTTTAGTGCATCGATCACTAATTGAGTTGTTAATGAAACCCTAAATTTAGCATGACAATATACTATAGGAATACACTCCAAAAAATTATCAGGGTCCCACTTCTCTAAAGCTTATTTCCATTTACTACGTATGAATAAGACACGACTCGATCCACTAAGGTTAGGGCTTGACCGGTGTCGTTTAGAAAGTAGAGTCGGAACATTTACCGATATCTAAATGTTACAGAAAAGGAAATGGAATTAGGAACGCCGGGAAACCCAACCCTGCGATCCTGGCCAATCGCTGGCGACGCAACCGGAAGTTCAGGACTTCAGAACCGTACGCACCGGCTTCTCTAAGTATCGCGAGGTGATGTGTGAACGCTGCTGACAATCGATTGGCTAACGAGACCGGTGACGTCAGAACTCCGGGTTTACCAGGGGAGCGTAAGCGGCGAAGAACTTCTTTTGGAGGTGTCGTTGAGTTCGCTGAATAGACACTATGAGCAAAGCTCACCCTCCCGAGCTAAAAAAGTAAGTATGTTGGAAGGCCGTGGGAGCTTCCTTGTATGCTTAAAGTTCCTTAGATTCCCCTCCATTTCTGGTCTGTGCCCCTGTCGCGCGTATTCCTCAACGAGGCCGCGGAGGTCTCAGCTTAGGTCCCGCGCTTTCGGGCCTGAAAGCCGCGCAGACGCAGCTATTCTTAGTTGGCATGGTTACGCAAGGCCGCGATGGCTCCTGTATTCAGCCCATTTATCCTAGCTGCAGCTCTCCGGCCCACGTCTCTTCCATTGCCTGAAGATCTCGAATGCCCCTCTTTGCTGACCATATTACGTAGCATCCTGTTCTTCATCAGGTGACTGGAGACTAACTGCATAAGGAACTAATAATGTGGTGAAATGGAAGAGTTTGATAATATATGAGATAGAAATCAAAAGCCATCTTATTCTTAAGAGTGTGTTTTTAGCTGTTTCTTTGAACTTTAAGTTGGAAACTCCATTCTTTTTTCTAGCTTTCTTGTACTTAACGTTGTACTTAAATGTCGTGTGATGTCTTGCTCTGTTAACAGTGCTTTGTGAGAACTTCTTTCCCTGGTCAGTGCAAAGTAATCTACTTTAGATAAGGCCCTATCTACTTTAGATAAAGCCCAATATTTCCATGCCTCTTAAGTGTGTACTTCTCTATCTTGTTTATACCATGTAATGCCAGAATTCTGCATGTAGTAGTTGGATAGAAGAGAGGATGCACAGTTCATCCGGGGATCAATTTGTGAGGCAAGCCATCTGGTCTACTTTGCCTATAGTTAATTTGTTACCACCCCATAAAGAAGTTGGACTTAAAGGAAAAGTTCACGTTTAATAATTTTGCACTGAAGTGCACATTAGTATCAAAGCCACCTTTTGTGCAAAAACTGTATATTTTAGTTGGATCTGTTAAAGACTTAATTACTAAATCATAAGCCTCACATTAAAAATAGAAATTATTATCATGAAAATGTTTATCTGGAAGTTATTCTTTTATTGGTAAGCCAGTTAAATCTTGTAAATATCCTCTAGATTCCTCAGAAACTAATGAAACGATAATAAATCTAACAAAAGGACCACCATTCATTACTCGTAATCTTAGATTTCCTTTTTGAATCTTAACAGATATTATTTGAGAATTTCAAAGGATGAAACTAGTTTTAACATCTTTCTCTTTTCATCTCTAGAATTCATGAATTGTGAAATCTTTTTATTTCTGCCGCCAAAATGACTTTCGAATTTTTTCTTCCTTTACTTTCTCACAAATTCCATCTTCTTGTACACGTTTATGCCCACCTCCTGGTTTAGCATAACTCAGTGGTTCTTACCTGAGGGGATAGGGAGTCTCGCTCTTCCAGCATCTAGTGGGTAGAAGTCAGGGATGCTTCTACCATTGGAGAATTAAATATTCTCCAATGCCCTGGACATCCCTCAACAACAAAGAATTATCTGGCCCCAAATGTCAGTATGCTGAAGTTGAGATTCCCTGGCCTAACCAAATTCTCCCTCCCAGCATTTAAAAGTTGTTGCCATGGTAGTCTTGCCAATAACTGACTTTTTAAATAACGTATTGCTGTCTGCATTATATAGTCGACTTGACCCGGGATTCAAATTCATCCATATCAAATCCAGGTACCAAATTACATGCACTAATATTTGAGTGCTCTCTTCTCCAGCCAAATGGAACCATTTGTATTTGCTAAAAAACTTTCTCACCTGCCGTGTAACTTTGGGCAACTTAATTGATCTTTCTGAGCCTCAGTTTCCCATCTATAAAATTGTGGTAACACTATTAATAACTTACAAAGTTGTCAAAAGGATTAAATAAGCTTATATGTGTTACATTTTCAAAGTTTCTGTAATATATCCTACTAAAATAGCTGATTTTATACTTTATACATGTTTTATTTCTAAATGTATCTTGCCATATACCTTCTGTCAGGCCCCAAGTCTTACTAATCTCTGAATTCACCCATACTATCTTATACATTAAAATTGAATGAAATTTCTTATTTTCCAGCCTGTAACTGGAAGAGGTAAAAACTTGCGTTGACTACACCATATATTTTCATAGTGCTCTGCTGAGATGGGCCTTTCTTGTTTAAATTGTTTAAAGCTTCAGATATAGGCATTTATTTTGCTAAAATATACTTATGTAATAAAATAGCTGTTGGATTGGATGTGGTTTGGTTACAGCTTCTGATTTCTTCACAATTTTGTTTGGTTTGGAAATAACCAAAATGTAATCAAATCTTTGTTTTTCCTTTAAAATCCAGCCATTGAAAACTAGGTCAGTATTGAACAAGAATGTTTTCATAATTTACCTGGGAAAAACTCAATTTAATATTGTTCATTAATATATTATAAACCTGCCTTGGCTGGTGTATCTCAGTGGATTGAGCTCAGGCCTGCAAACCAGAGGATTGCAGTTTGATTCCCAATCAGGGCACGTGCCTGGGTTGCAGGCCAGTTCCCAGCAAGGGACACATGAGAGGCAACCATACATTGATGTTTTTCTCCCTCTCTTCTCCCCTCCCCTCCCCTCTAAAGATAAATAAATAAAAATCTTTTTAAAAAGTCAGTTTACTTAGCAGCTTGCCCCCTCACAAATAAGGACTTAACCACAATAAAAAGATACATATATATTATAAGCCCATTTCACTTTTACTGATTATCTTGCCCCTTCCCAAAATACATTGCTTTGTATTAAATACAGACTGAGATGGCATACCACTCCCTCTTCCTTTATAGCAGTGCAAGGTTTTTACTATTTTAAATTTCATTATTTCTATTGTGTAGATACAATTTTAGCAAATTATATTGACTAACAATTATTATATAATTGAGTATATACCTAGCTTTGTGCATATTTATGCTTAAATTTTTGTCAGTTATATAATCTTTATTCCTTTGCTTTTTCAGATTTATGGACAAGAAGTTATCATGTAAGTTTTATTTAATTCAGTTGCTTTTTACATATGTCTTAGTATATAGTGTTTGGAGCAACTCTATAAACATTCAAAGCACACAGAGCCTCTAATTCACATTCATTCATTAAGCAGATTTAGCAAAATCCTAATGAGATAGTTTTATTTGCATAATTTTCGAAGTTTAATAAATTTTACAGTACTTCAGGCACTTCATAATTCCATATAAGCCTACTCTCAATGTCACAAAATTAACAGGATTTTCCCATTTTGTGATATTTGAAACTTTATTCTTTTTTAAAAACAAAGGACATAGACAAGACTAAAAATCTGACCTACACAGTTCTTGAAGTTTGTATGGGTTAAGATCCTGGCTTTAGAGATAGATAAGCAACCTTCAGTTTGAATCCCTGCCCTGCCACATAGTAGCTGTATAACCTTGAACCAGTTATTCAAAAGCCTTTTATACATTCCAGTTCCCTCATCAAAAGGATAATTCTACATTACAGGATTCTTGTAAGTTTAATGTGGAAGTAAATATAAAGTATTTAGCCCAGTGCTTGGCGTATAGTAAGGAGGTTTTACTCCATGTAATTTTTAGTGAATACTTGATAGTTAATGGCCAGTTTTATTAAAACTTATTTTCCCTTTTCCATAGTGAAATTAAATGGTGGCAGACATGTCCAAGGAATCTTGCGGGGATTTGACCCCTTTATGAATCTTGTGATAGATGAATGTGTGGAGATGGCAACTAGTGGGCAACAGAACAATATTGGAATGGTGGTAAGTGAAGATTTGGAGATTTCATTTTTCATTTGGAATAAGCGTTAACTTCCCTTTCGTCAAACTCTTAAATTAAACTGAAGTTAGGCAAATTACAAGCAGGATTAGACTTTCCATTTTTGAGTTTAACATTTGGCAGTCATTCTGTGACGATATCCCAGTTACCTTTAAGTTAGATCTGAATCTCATATAGAATCCTCTGAGGTCATTGGGCTTGGAATAACTGTTGGAAATTACTTTTTCACTTTATTCTATAATAGTATCTCACAGGCTTTTTTAGAGCACTAGTTCTCCATCTTAATTGCATCTTAGAATCAAATTAGTTTGGGATGTAGCATAAAGGTTTTTTCAAGTTCCCCAGATGATCCTAATGGAAGGCAAAGATTAACCGCTGGTATAAAGCATTTACTATCATCTGTTTACCCGAAAAACGAAAACTGGATTCTACCCCAAGCAAAATCTTTCTAGTGGTGTTTTTTTGTTGTTGTTAAATTAGTAATGTATATGAAGGTTAAGGCATATGCATATGAATTCTCCTCAGATGACCTTGTAAAAATGCAGATCCTAATTCAGTAGGCATGGAGTGGAACCTGAGATTTTGCATTTCTAACAAGTGTCCATTGATGCAGATCTGCCCATCCCACAGATCACACTTTTATTTTTAATTGTTTATATGATTAGATAGATTTCTGTGGGGGTGACTTCTTCGCAAGTCCCCCTGGTGCCACAGACACGCGTGAATGAATAAATATGGCCGAGACATGCTGAATCTGTTTGGGGAGGAGTGGGCTGTGGTCAGTTTCTCAGAGGAGACAAAAGCCAGCAGCGGCCGGTTTCTCTGAGAAGAAAAAGGCCCCGAGTGCCTTTCTCCATAGCCTTTTATTGGGTTGTAATACACAGGAATACAGGGCAGCAAGGATCAAACAGTAGATAACATTTCAAAGAGATCCGAGGGCTTCAGAGTTTGAGTCAAGTGTTTGTCGGGAAGAGTGTTGCAGAAACTTTGGGAGACATACTCATTTCCTCTCGGACCCTTATGACCCTTATCATATGAATGAAAGTGCTCTTAGCAGAGCAGATTTCACAGGTTTATTCGCAAGTCTTTGTGATGCCAGATTTTCCCCAAGACACGCTCTAGCAAGGCAAGGAGCTGCACCTCTCCCCAACAGGTATTCAGGCTTAAGAGGATTAGAGCCAGGAGGTGCTTCTCCCAGAGAACATGGGGACTTGGGCTTTGATAAAGCCGGGGGGGGGGCATCCATTGCTCTTTGTTGCAGCCCCCCAAGTCCTTCCATGAAGACCTCCCAAGTGATCGAGTCTGGCTTAGATTGCCCCTCACTGTGAGGGGTCTCACCCATCATTGACTTCCAACCAAGCTCTGGGGGCAGGGAGAGGATTTGAGGCAGCGTTTGCTACCAGAGACAGGCTTTGTCTCCTGTGGCTCACATTCCAGAGGTCATCTCTCGCCCTTAGCCACAAGGGGTATAATTAGGAGATATAATTCCTAAAACTAGGCAGAGTGGTCTACTACAGATTTCTGGTTTATCACACCCAGACTTAAAAGTAATGAAGAAAAGCCCTAGGTGGGTAGCTCAGTTGGTTAGGGCATTGTCCTGATACACCAAGGTTGTGGGTTTGATTCCTTGGTCAGATCAGAGCACGTAAAAGAATCAACCAGTGAATGCACAAATAAGTGAAACAACAAATTGGTGTCTCTCTCTCCCTCCCCTCCCCTACTTCCTCTCTAAAATCAATGTTTTTAAAGATAAAAGTAGTCTAGGTAAAAATTACAAGGATGGTCATGATAATAGCCGTTCACATTGGAAGAAAACAGAAATACATAGTTCTTAATTACAGGAGCAAGCATTCTACATTCATTAGTCCATAGTGGAATGACTGCTGAAGAATTTTTTATGTTTGCCAGCAAGACCCAGACTTTAAATCCCTCTCTTTGCCCAGCACGGGACAATATACCAATACCCAGTAAGTGGTAAGGCCAAGTTTCTTGGAAAAGGTGGAAAAAAGGACAACTGAACCCTTGCTGGTGTAGCTCAGTGGATTGAGCACAGGCCTGTGAAGCAAAGGGTCGCTGGTTTGATTCCCAGTCAGGGCACATGCCTGGGTTGCAGGCCAGGTTCCCAGTGGGGGACACATGACAGGCAACCACACATTGATGTTTCCCTCCCACTCTTTCTCCTTCCTGTCCCCTCTCTAAAAATAAATAAATAAATAAATAAAATATATATATTTTTAAAAAAGGACAACTGAGCCCTGACTGGTGTGGCTTAGTAGTTTGGGGATTGTCCTGCAAATTGAAAGGTCGCTGTTTTGAGTCCCAGTCGTGGCACATGCCTAGTTTGAGGGCCAGGCCCCCAGTTGGAGGCATGCGAGAGGCAGCCGATTGATGCTTCTTTCATACAACGTTGATGCTTCTCTCCCTTTCCCTTTCTAAAAATAAATGAATAAAGTCTTGTGTTTTTAAAAGAGCTTAGCTTTAGCAAATCATAGAGCATAAAGACTTCTGCAACATTATGAAAGTCCAAATAGTTAAACTTGATTTTTTGCCTTAGTGTTTTTTTGAAGTTTGGGCAATAGAGGGGTGAAATTTTGTTTTTAATAACTTGTTCCAATACTTGTGTTACTGTTTATTTCAAATACATTTTTATTACTCCATTTTGAAAAGTAAGTCCATGGTCAGGACTAGAAAAACAGCTTAGAGTGTCTAGATATAAGACTTTTCCCCAAGTTTCATGTAAATCAACCTTCTTTGGAAGTACATTCTCCTTGAGCTTCTGTTTGACCTGGTCTGTGATTGCATTATGATCTGCAGTACACCAGGGGCTTTTTATACAGGGTGGGACAAATGTGGGTTTACAGTTGTTCATATGGAAAGTAATATAATAAATAATAATACAAAGATAAATTCAGTGTTTTGTGTACTCACAACTGTAAACCTACTTTTGCCAAACCCTGTATTCACAGACCCCTTCCAGTTTGTTTGTTTTTTGTTTCAAGATTTTTATTTACTTATCTTTAGAGGGGAAGGGAAAGAGAGAGGGAGAGAATATCAATGTATGGTTGCCTCTCATGGGTCCCCTGCTGGGAACTGGCCTGCAATCCAGGCATGTGCCCTGACTGGGAATCAAACCGTGATCCTCTGCTTCACAGGCCCACGCTCAATCCACTGAGCTACACCAGCCAGGGTGACCTTCCTCTCCCCCCACCCCCGCCCTCAGTTTGTCTTAATGTTTCTGTCCCTCTTCACCTCAGTTACCAGGCATATTGGCCGTGCTTTCTTAAGAATCCTGGCTTATCTTCATTTGTGGAAGGGCTGTGTCAGACACCATGCTAGTCCTAGGGCCTGTAAACTCTCTGCCAGCCTCTCTTCTTGAACAACATGGATTTAAGCTGTGCAAGTCCACCTATATGTGGGTTTATTTCAGTAAATACCCAGTGTCCCTGGGTTTTGCATCTACATGTTGAGCCATGGGTTAAAAACTATTTTCTATCTATGGTTGGGAATCCATGGATGTGGCAGGCCAGCTCTATGCATCATTACATAAGGGACTTGAGCATCCATGGATTTTGATATCTGAAGGGGGTCCTAGAACCAGTGCCCCTCAGGGAATGACTGGGAAGTTAAAAGCGTGGTGGGGGCAGGGCCCTGGAGTCCTGTTTTGTTCAAAGGTCTACTGCCAGTGCCAGAACAGTGGTCATTCCCACTCTGAAACTTTCACTGGCTCATTGTTGGCTTCATTATCCCCTCCACTTTTATGGTTGGTGTTGCAGGCCTTCTAAGATTGGATGCTAACTATCTTTGTTTCGTATTTCCCTCATAACCTTTTATTGCAAATTAGATTCTTTTTTATCCTCCAGATAATTTCCCTGTCAATATTCTACCCAATTTTCAAAACCCATCTAAAATGCCATCTTCATAAAGCCTACTTTTTGCAGCTTTTATTCTGGTTTGTTCCCTGTATGATCCTACCCCATAAATGTGCATACTCTGTTGTACCTATTTTTCCTATTTATGGATTCCTAGGGGCAATGATGGTCGTGTTATTTTGAGTCCTGCAGTCAAGGCAGTGAAATGAGTCATTGGAGACTTGGTATCTCAAAAGGGTAGTTGTTAGCCTTTGAGACTTGAGTTATTTAGCTTGAACTGACATCTTGTTTTTTAAGATTTTTATCTATTTATTTTTAGAGAGGAAGGGAGGGAGAAAGAGAGGGAGAGAAACATCAGTCAGTTGCCTGTCACCCCCACCCCCAACCAGGGATCTGGCCTGCAACCCAGGCATGTGCCCTGACTGGGAATCGAACCAGCGACCTTTTGGTTTGCAGGACAATGCCCAACCCACAGAGCTACCAGTTTAGGGGTGGTGAAAATTCTTTAATCGTGATTTATAAATCTGTTAAATGATGTGTAGTCTTTCTAAGTTACTTTTCTCTTTCTTAGGTAATACGAGGCAATAGTATCATCATGTTAGAAGCCTTGGAACGAGTATAAAAATGGCCATGTGCACCAGAGAAACCAACTGCTTCCGCATTCCCTCTTCATATCTCCTGTTTTATTTACTACAATATAAAAGTTGAGTCTTATACATTTTCACATTGAACTTTGTTAAATAAATTTTTGTATTGGTCAAAAAATGCTTTCTCACATGTGCTGAACTTAAAAAATAAGATATTAGCTCTAATTTTTTTCTTTTTTTTTTTAATTTATTTTTTTATTGATGATGCTGTTACAATTGTTCTATTCCCCTCCACCCTACCTCCCTTCACCACCATTACCCCCCCCTTAGTTTATGACCATGTGTCTCAAGTTCTGTAGATTCTGTATTTCCCATACTATTCTTGCCCCCCTATCTATTTTCTACCTACCATCTATGCTACTTATTTTCTGTACCTTCTCCCCCCTTCTCCTCTTCCCACTCCCCTGTTGCTAACCCTCCTTGAGATCTTCATTTCTATGTTTCCACTCCTGATCTAGCTGTCCTTTTAGTTTGCTTTTGTTTTAGGTGTGGTTGTTAATAACTGAGTTTGTTGTCCTTTCACTGTTCATGTTTTTTAAACTTCTTTTCCTTAGATAAGTCCCTTTAACATTTCATATAATAAGGGCTTGGTGATGATGAACTCCTTGAATTTGATCTTATCTGAGAAGCACTTTATCTGCCCTTCCATTCTAAATGAAAGTTTTGCTGGGTAGAGCAGTCTTGGTTGTAAGTCTTTGGATTTCATGACTTGGAATACCTCTTTCCAGCCCCTTTTTGCCTGTAAGGTCTCATGAGAAATCCGCTGACAGTCTGATGGGGACTCCTTTGTAGGTGACTGTCCCCTTATCTCTTGATGCTTCTAGGATTCTCTCCTTCATTTTCATCTTGGCTAATGTAATTATGATGTGCCTTGGTGTGTTTCTTCTTGGGTCCAACTTCTTTGGGACTCTCTGAGCTTCCTGGATTTCCTGGAAGTCTATTTCCCTTTGCCAGATTGGGGAAATTCTCCTTTATTATTTGTTCAAATAAGTTTTCCACTGGTGGCTGTTCCTTTCCCCCTTCTGGTACCCCTATAATTCAGATGTTGGAGTATTTAAAGATGTCCTGGAGGTTCCTAAGACTCTCCTCATTTTTTTGAATTCTTGCTTCTTCACTCTTTTCTGTTTGGCCATTATTTGCTTTCTTCTGGTCCACTCCATTGATTTGAGTCCCAGTTTCCTTTTTATTGCTGTTGGCTTCCTGTGCAATTCCATTCATTTCAATTAGTTTCGCCTTCATATGTTTGTCTAATTTGTGGCTATAATCAACCAGTTCTGTGAGGATCCTGATCACCAGTGTTTTAAACTGCATCTGAGAGTTTGGCTATTTCTTCATCACTTAGATTTATAGGCTCTGGGGCTTTGAGATCTTCTTGAGCCATTTTTGGTCTGTTTGCGCCCGTTAAGTCTGAGGAGCGGAGCCTTGGACTCCCAGGTCGCTGGGTTGTGACACTCTATGTGGAGGTGGGGTCAGAGCAGGGAAATGGCGGCGCCCTCCACCTCCGCTTGCCACTGGGACTGCTGGCTCTCGTCCAATCACCCACTCCCCCGCTTGTCTATCCACACACGAATGCTCGACCACAGTCAGCCCGCAGCCCTGCTCCCTCTCTGTTTCCCTGTGGTCCCTCGCTGAGTTGCCCACCAGGTCCAACCCTGCGCCTGCATTCCACATGCCTGAGTCCGTCTGACCGAGTTTTCCTGTGCTACCCTGCTCTGCCAGCTGCTGGTTTCGCCCCTCTTACCGGTCAGGCTGAAGAATTTGTTGTTATCAGACTTCCGAAAAGTTCAATTTTCTGTGTTCTGGCTCTGTTTTCTGTTGCTATTATTTAGTTGTCTCTAAACTTGTTTGTGTGAGGAAGCACAGCATCTCCAGCTATGCCTCCATCTTGGCGGAAGTCTCTAATTTTTTTCTTACATAAAAAAATTCATTCCTGGTTAGGACTAATTTTTTAAAATGTTTTTATGCATTAATACAGAAAAATGTATTAAATGTAAAACACTTGAACAAAGAGATAAAGAATCTGAAAGCCTGAGTGGGTTTCTTTTGTAACATTAACTCTGATTTTCAAAACTCTTGTAGTAATTTTAATATCCGGCTTTTCCAAGTACATCTGCATTCCAAGTAGAGTACATCAGAAAACAGGAAGCAGTGAAGTTGCTGTTTATTTTGAACATAAGTGGGATAATATTTTTAACACAAGAGTAGAAATAGAATCCAAAGAAAAATATTCTAGTGTATTGTTCCTCTGAGGTGGAAAAGTAATAATAATGCTGCCCCTAATACTTAATCTAGCTCAGAAATTCTAGTTCATCAGTTTTTGTAAAACTGATGAAATATGCTTTACACATGGTTATCATAAACCTTAAGAAACCTACCAAGCAAATGCTTAGGTCTGCAGTTTTTGATCTAGTAGAAAGCCTACAAAGTTATTTGAGTCATTTTAAAACTAGAGAATGGGATACACACAAGTGAGTAAGGCACTTATAAAACAACATAGAGGATGGTTTGTATGTATCTAAAATGTGTACAGCAAAAAAACAGATCAAACCAACTTAAACATAAGAGTCGGTGTGAAATCCAGTACATTTTTATTATCCCAACTTTCACTTTAACCCATTTTTTTATTCCAGTACATTTTAAATCTGCAGTGAACTTGATAGGCTTGGTTTTTTGCAACCACATAGAGCTGAATTATAGAAATGGTCTCCACTGTGGTTCCTAGACCAGCAATATCACCTAGGACCTTAATAGAAATGCAGACTTTGATATACCATTCCAAACTTCGAGAAGTTCTGGGAGTGAGGCCCAGCAATACTTTAGGCCCTCCAGGTGAGTCCAAAGCGTGCACAAATTAGAACTGCAGCCTTGCATTCTGCCCCTGCATCATTTTTACCACTTTTGTGTAGAAAGATGAATAAGCAAGCTCTGACAGTACTTTTTCATCCAATTTTTTAAGAACTTTAGTACTGTTAATTGCATTAAAACTACTGCCTGATATATTGATAACCTGTTTTGCTCTTTGCGGAAGCAATTTCAGATATCCTGTTGGAAAACAAGAGTAGGTTTTATATAATGGCAACACTTTAAATTGGTGTTCTTACAAGTAAAAATATATCCCATTGCAAACTAAGTCTACAGGTGACAGAAATTAAACTACTTCATTAGCATTTACCAATCTAGCATATACATTCTCTACATGCTGTCTTCATTAAAACCACAAAACATTTTTTAAAAATAAAATTAGAAAAAAGCTGACCATTTGACAAACTAAATATTTTTAGCGATACATGTTAACTTGGTTGCAGGTAGTTGAATTCACAAGCTCTTGTTCTGTCCCTACCAGTGACTGAGGACATTCATGATTTTTGTACAGTAGATGTAAGTTTTCAAGTTTGGCTGCATATTAGAATCACTTGAGTAGCTTTAAAGGCCTACAGGTGATTTCAGAGTCCAGCCAAGGTCAGCTACCCTCTTAAGATGTCAGCAGTTTCTCACTCAAAATGGTACAGTAGCTTAAGTATTTAATGCTTTGTGCATATACTGGTTTTGATCAAGTATCATGTCATTCTGTATATCATGTCAACTACTCTGGAATAATCTAGGTTGCTTCTGCTGTTACACTATCAGTGATTCTTCACAAAAGGAAACTTTGACAATGGGTTGGATTTCTTGGGGCTTTTAAGGCACTAAAAACCCTTTGGAGACATTTTAGACACCCAAATCAGTGCTTCTTAATGTAGGTTAGGAATTTTAAAAAGCTATGATGGTAAGGTCCTATCCTCAATCCATTAAATCAGAGTCTCATGGCGAGTTGGGGGGAATCCATCCCCCCCATATTTGTAAGAGCTTCATAGGTGAGGATTTGATAATAGAATGCCAATTTCTTCCATCAATAGCCTGTATTTGCTTTTCATTTTACTGGAGATTGCTGTATGACATCTTAAGGTTGTACTACTCAGACTTAGGAATTTCACCCCTAAAAAAAAGACAAGCAATCAAAAGAACATTCTAAAAGTTAAGGCTTCAGTCATGGGCACCTTTACTTTGAAAATGAGATACCAGCTCCCATAGTAGATTTCACTCTGTGACTAAAGATCACATTTAGCTGTGAAGCGCAGATGAGCTTATCCCCAACTAAAAGGTATGTGTTTTAAGTTCAAGTATTCAGCTTAAAATGCTCTAAAGTTTTGTTCAAAATCCAGGGCCTAACCTCTAGACCTACTGAATCAAAATCTCCAGAAGAGGTAGGGAATTCTGTATGTTTTACAAGTTCCAGACGATTCTTCCAATCTGAGAAGTTTGGAAAATACTGTTGATATTAAGAGTTAAATTTTGGAGCAGGCTCTCTGGAGCACACCAATGCCCTTCTTCCCTCTCCTAAAGTCTAAAAGTCCCCAGGAGACTTGCAGCCAAAGGAGCAGTGGGCAGCCACAGCTCATCTCAGGCTAACCCACTAAACCCATTTCCAAGGACCCTGGTCTCTGACTTTTTGGTGAGCTAAGAGCTGCCTGACCTTGGCTCACTCCTGTCATTGTCACAGTGGGCTAACAGCAGCACCGCTGGGGCTCACTTCTTTCCTGTAACTTTGGAAACCTTTGGTTCCAGAGAGCCAAAACAGCACCTCCTCTGTTGTACTTCTACCCTAAGACCCTAAGCCCTTCTTTTGTTTCACTGTCCCCAGATTTAATAAACATACTCTCAAAGTTAAAAAAAAAAAAAAAAGGGAAGAAAAGAAGCTTTGGACATGGCATAAATGCAATAGTTACACCTTCACACTTAATTAGACCTTGTATTTTCTCCTGACTCACTGGGATTACTCTCGTTAAACAGTGACAGTGGCAAAATATGTGATTCAAAATGTCTGCTCAGATTGTGTTCTTCTTTGTCAGTGATATTCCATTTGGAACTAGGAGCGGGGTTTGCCGGGAATGAAAGTGTTGTCTCATAGTTCAGTTTTCAGTTTCTCGTATAAGTCCTCCTGGTCAATCATGTGCGTGTGCCCGTTCCAGCGGTGATAGGCAAGGAGAGCAGCATTGTGGGCTGCAATGGCACTCATTTCCATGGCACTTGCTGCGCGCTCTATGCCATTCAGGTAGTAAAGTCGATCATGGAGTATGA